ACACTGTGAAATCTCTTATTTCCAAAAATACCACTAAAAAAAAACTACTACTACTTAATACTCTTTTCATCTCCTCCAAATATCTTTTATCTGCAGATCAGCTACATGAATAAACACTATAAATAATATATGCTATGTCTGAGAGTCCTGACATGAATACTTACAGTAAAAAGCATTTCAGATTAGTGCAAACTTTCAGTGAATCAAAAAATTACTTCTCAGAATCATTTATTAAAACTCAGAGACTTTCTGATCAATAATTTTACAAAAGAAAATCTGGGATTAGGAATAGTTTTAACTAATATTTCTAAAATTTGAAATAATGCTTTAGTAATTCACACAGAGTCATCTTTCTTTTATACAGGATCTCATTCTCAACTCCAAGAGGGAGAAGTGACCACTGAGTGAGGAAGTTTCAGACAAGTCAGAAGAGGGAGATCACTCTGAGAATACAATAAGCAGCTGTTTCAGTGAGAAAGTGGCAAACAATAGGGCAGAAATGTGACAGAAGTCAGAAAAGGTGACAGGTTATAGAAGTCAGAAGTGGCAGACACTAACAGTGACAGAAAAGGCAGCAAGAAGCAAAATAAATGCAACAAAAAGCAACGTGAGAACTTGGAGGGGGGATAAAACTTGCTTGCATAATAGGTACAATATTCAGTTATATGTTTAATAAAAAGGAAATATGAGTATACATGCACTATGACAAAAGGGAAATTATTAATGTCAGTAAATTCTGTAATGTTATAATACTTTTTATCAGATGTTTCAATTAATTCATGTGATCATCAATACCCATTAAAAGACAGGAAGAAGAGCACAATAAACAGTATTTGAACACTGATATCCCTGTCCCAACAGGACAGCAAACGTAACTGTCCTCATCTCTACCCTGAGTGCCTAGGGAAGCTGCCATAAAATGAACAGGTGTTTGGGTCTGATGGGCGCAATGACTCGGCTTCATTGAGGCTGTGCTGTTTACTGGTAGCCACAGCAATAGCTTCCTAAACCTCTTCACATGGAGCCTGACACAGCAGTTCTTTCTTAGGCTGGCTCCTTGGACTATGATGAATGCTTTCATCTAAGGGTCAGCAGCCTCTTCTCAGCCAAGGATGCCATCTGTGGCCCTTGGGATGCCTGAGGCCACAGGAAGAGAGAGAACAGAAATAAGAAAGAGATAAGAAAGACTATCTTTATGCTAAGGAAAGGGAGAGAGAACCCAAAGGAGGGGGAAGAAAAGGCAGTGAGGGGACTCAGGAAGAAAAGCAGTTCTTTGTGTGATGAGTAAAGTATAACCATCAAATAAAGGCCTCAGGGCTGGTCACTGGATTGCACCATGCATCACTTGCCTCCACTCAGCAACTCCTTGGCATCTGCTAGGGAGACAGGCCGGGAACAGGACCAGATGACCTCTTACATCGTGATTCTCTCATCACTTAAAGCCTTGCCCATTCTGTTATTCCCATGCAGTTCCTTCCTGCTTATCCACCCTCCCATTTTTCTCCTTCTACTCCTGAACCCTTCAGTGGTGGCCCCTGGAACATGTGCTTTATGATCAACGAACTCTTTGATCCTTTTTTAACCTCTTGTAGAAATACTGCTCTCCACTTCCTTGCTTTAATTGGAAACTGGCTGTCCTTGGAGCATACCGTTTTCTTAGTAGCCCTCCTGAATGATGGATGTTTATTCTCTCGGCCACCTTGCACTTGGGCATTAGTATTCTCTTTGGTCCCCAACGCAGGTTTCAGATCATTATTTCTTATTTTTGTAAAAACTGTCATTTTTTTGAGCCTTATTGCTTCTTCTAAGCCTCATGGAGTCCAGTTAACCCCTACCACTACCCTTTGCTATCACATACTGAATGCTACCCTTCATTCACTAAAGGACTTTGGTGTCTAATTCACAATATTTAACTCTACCTCAATTCTAGATATTATATACGTGGACAATCCATCCAACATCCAGGCCTCACAGTTTCTTTACCTTCTAGCATTCTCTTTCCTCCACTCCACTTGGGCTACCCACTCTATAGTCATACCTGGAGTACTTATTAATATCTGTCTTTTCTGAAATGACTATGAATTGGAATTGACTTGACCACATACAACACAACAATTTTCTGATAAGGACACCTACCCTTATAGCTTGTTTGCTCCGGCACCCCAACCTACAGCTATTCTTTGATTTCAGTGAGACCTCTACTTTTTCTCTATATACTCTCTACTTCTTTTAAAAAAAAGACTTGTATTACAGAATATCCCTTCTCTCTCCTATATCTTTACTTTATCCTTCTTTATTGGAGATTAAACATGCTCAAGAATCTTTTATCGTAAATACAACAAACAAAAAAAATACAAGGTCGTCCTGTACTTCATATATCCTTCAGGTTATAACTCTAACTCTTCAACTTTACAGCTAAATTTGTAAGATAGTAGTTGTATATTTTCTCTCTCTACTTACTCACTTCCTGTTCATTTCTCAGTCCCTTCCAATCTGCTTTCTGTCTTTCCACTTCCACTGAACAGCTCCCTCTGAAGTCATCAATAACCCCCATTAGCCTAATCAGTCCTCACTGTAGTTGATCCACCTTCAGCATCACTGAATACAACTGGTAATTGCCTCCTTATTGAATCAGAGCCTTCCTGAGGCCTCTGTTGACATCATGTTCTCCGTGATTACGTATGTCTCTGGTTGTTGCTTCTCAGCCTCCTTTCTAGCTTCTCTCTCTTCATCCAACCTTTAAAAATTTTGGAGTTCTGCAGGACTTGATCTGAAGCTGGCTTCTCTTTCCTCTATATATCCTTCCCAAGGAAACCTCATTCACTCCCATGGCTTCAAAGATCATTTAGGCCAATGACTCTGAATCTTGGAGCTCCACATATTCATCTGTTTGCTGGATAGCTCTACTTGAATGTTTTATGTGCCTCAAATATGTCTAAATGTACTCCTCTTTCAAAATTCCTTGTATTAGTAACAGTACCATTATCCACCTGGGTTTTCACATCAGAAACCAGGGAGTCATTTATGAAATCTGCTTCTTCACCAAGCCCCCCCAACATTCTATCTTACTAATTAATTTCACTTTAAATACCCATTGGGTTTATTCACTTCTCTCCACCTCCACTGCCACCAACCTAATCAAAGCCATCATCACTACTGTAGTGGGTTCAGACTCTCCAAATTTCTTCTTTTCTCTTTCTGCTACTCTATTTTCTATTTTCCACAATGCAGCAAGAGGAATCATTTTTTTTAATAGACTTTATTTCTGATCAGTTTCAGGTTTATAGAAAAATTGTGCAGAAAGTACACAGAGTAAGAGGGTTTTTTACAAATCCAAATTTGATTATGATACTTTCCTGCTTATAATGTTTAATGGCTTTCTGCTTATGTAAAAATAAAATTCTCAGCTCTTCACATGGCCCTTCAACATCTGGACCCTCTTAGGTCTCCAGACTGATTTCATTCCATTCTCCCTCTTGCTTTCTACACTGTAGCCACTCAGTTCCATTCGAGTTCCTTCTTGGCTCAGGTCTTTACCTATATTGTATTTTTTTCTGTCTAGATCACTCCCAACCTTCTCCCCAGCTTGGCTAATCCATTCATCTTTTAGATACCTGCTTTGCTGTCATTCTCTCAGAGACGCCACGTTTGAGTTTTTTTGTTGTACTTATAACAATGATAATACATTCACTATTTGTTTAGTGTCTGTGCTTGCAGCTCCCCCACCCCCACCCCCACTATCAAACTCTGTAAAATCCATGAGGGCAGCAGCCATGTCTGTTTTATTCATAAGTTACATTGTATCTGTAAGGCCCAACACACAACCCAGCACACAGTATGTAAATAATAAATACGTGTGGAATGAATAAATGAATGCATGAAAGTTCATTCCAACTTTGGGATTCTGTTTATTCTAATATACTAGATAGAAATACAACTGATGTTTTCAGGTTTTACTCAAATAACAGTGGGAGAAAACAGCAATTAAATATTCTTCAATTCAACTATAGTTTTTGTGTGTGTGTGTGTGTGTGTGTGTGTGTGTGTGTGTGTGTGTGTGTAGGGGGGGCAACATAAGAACTGCTTAACTCCTAGCAGAAGTTTCAACTTGTAGTTGACTCTACTCACAAAATACAATCCTTAAAAATAAGCATGAAGACAGTAATAAAGACCCTGAAGGAGAAAAAAATTAATGAAGAAGATTCTACATCCTCCTGCTTAAGAGCCAGCCTCACCATTCCCTACACTACTTCTTTGAGGCTCAAGTTGCTACTACATTTCTATACTAATCTATCCTTTGTCCAAGTTTGGTTGGTGGCGGGCGTGCAGGGAGGGAGGGGGCAGTGCATGCTTAAGGTAAACACAGAACAAAAAAGTCTAGTAAGGCTTTTCATTAAATAAATACCCTTTAGGCAGAAAGTATTCTGTTTGGATCTAGATTATACTAGTTTTCTTAAAATTCTGAATGAAGCATGGGAACAACTGCAAGAAAATGAAGCCAACTTTTGGCTGTATCCAAAAACATCAGTCCACGCAGTTTAAAAGCTCACTGTCTCCTTGCAACAGGCTTCACTAACTTCAGTAACCAATCTATTTTTTTCCTTCAGTTTGGTTGGACACATCCTTATTTTCTGCCAGCTAGGGCTGGGTAAAAGAATGAAGAAAATCTTTTTAAAAATAAAATTCTAATTTAACCAGGGCTCTACCTATTTGCAGTGGATAGAAATACTATAGAAGATAATGAGGAACTGGAACTCCAAGACATTCCTTTTTTGCCACAGTGGGCATGATCAGTGCTATTTGAAAAAGCATTCTTCTGTCCCTCCCACTAATGAAAAAGTAGATGGCTAAGCTGAGGCTTTCAGGCGGTCTACCTACGAACAGCAGTGGTCTGTACATATTCACCGATCCTTTTCTGATTTCAGTGCCTTCATTTGCCAGATACTGATTCCTTTTATACTGCTATAACTATGCTACACCATGTTCTTGACCTACTTTACCTTCACAGGGATGTCCTCTTCCTGGTTTGCTTTCTCTGAGGTGAAGACATATGAGATTTCTTTGTGAGATGTGGTCTGGCGGCAGATAGCACACTTGATGGAGCTTCTGTGAGACCCCACGCTGTACTGTTCGATAATAATAGAAATGCATTCATTACAGAAACAGTGCCCACAGGTCAGCACTGCCCACTGAAAAGGAAAACAACAGAACAAACCTCAGTGAGATGCTATCAAAGATGCCTTCCTGTCTGTAAATATAGTAAGAAGGGGAGAAGAGAGTCACAATTTTACTTTCTAAATATTTCATGACATTAATATTCTTTAAATCATAAAAGCCGAGTTCTTTTTTTAGAGTCCAAACAGAGTAAGCTTTAATGGTCTTTAGTTCTGCTCACCGTAAGAGTGAGCAGACCTGTCAGTAGCCAGTATTTTGTAAGAAGTTGGTGTTCTCACTACAGTATTGTAGAGAAATGCTAATTATCCCTTTAGCATGCTAACAGCAGATCTAGTAGACAGGCTGAGAACACTAATTTGGAGCTAATATCATGTAGGTAATAGTACTCAATATATTCTATTTAATTTCTTAAACTGAGTTACATTTTCACATGTTAAAGCAGGTAAAATGTATCAGATACATTTAAAAAGTGGTTCTAGATAAACAACAAAAACAAATAAACAAATAAAAATGATTGTGCCTGACAAACCCTGTGTCCTATTTCAAGTAAAGTAAAATAATCCTCTCTGTACCTCTGGAGCATCCCATGGAGGAAACTTTCCCCCCTTTGGAAATGGGGGAGAGAGGGGAGGAATAGAAGAGCATAAATTTAGTATGGGGTAAGTTCTAAAAGCTATGTCATCTTATGCAAGTTATTTAACTCTTTTTCACATGGTAAAACAGACAACAACAATAAAACTGAGTGTTATGAGTTATAAGGATCTTAAGCCCTAAGCTGTATTTTTTCTAGGATTTTACATCCACGGATTTGTACAGAAAGATGGTGTGTGGCTGGGCCCACTCGAGGTTCTTTTTAAGAAGTCCCTTGGAAAAGAACCCACACTAAGGGAAGCAAAGCCGGAGGTATATAAACCTGATTTCACAACAATCATTGGGAAGGAGGAGGGGTTATGTCGTATTCTATCATGATACTGTTAGTATTGTTCTCTGGCGGCAACTCTCCTCCCAAGCCAGAGTCCCCAGCAGCGGGGGCTGTGATAAAATTAAAGCAGTGTCTTACTAGTATTTTTGTATGACACATAGAGCACTATTCTCTACCTTACGTGCCCCTAGTGCCACTGGGAATGAAGGGCACTTCCTCTACTTAGAAGGATGTTTGTGGCTCAGAGGACCTTAGAATGGACAAGTTGAACTGCAAGACAGGTCCACCTACATTTACAATGGAGAAGAAACCAAAGAGACACTTGGCACCAGCACAAAGTATAGAGAGTGATGGGAAGTTGACTGAAACAGCCCAAACAGAAGAACAGATAAATGGCAATGCCTCCAGGGACATTAGGCAGTACACACGAGGTGCCCAGAACAGATTCCCTAAATTAGAAGGGAAGGAGGAGAGATGGGAAGATAAAGGGAAAGAATCTAGAGCTCCTATAGATTGTGGGTGTGGACAGTTAGAAAAGCAGTTTTGTTACTCTTATTGTAATCTAATATGGTCTCCTAGGTGTAGAAGAATTAAATGAAATAATGTATGTGAAAGAAATTTAAAATGCTAAATGCTTAAGACAAAAATTAAATAAAATTTCCAAGACTGTCCAGATGCATGAATCTCATTATAAAAAGAAAAAAACAATACATAATCCTTTCCCTTTTCATCCCAACATTTTCAGAAGTCACCGGTATCTGCACATTACCATCCCTCTGCTCAGTTTCCCATATAGTATCTATCCTTGTAAAATCTGTCACCACAGTGTCTTCTGAACTCTCATCTTCTCCAGAAATCTTGAAAACTAAAAGGTAATTTCTCCCTGATTACCACTAGTCAGAATATGTAACCCATACACTTAACTTTCCACTCTCAGTTCCACAGGAAAACAGTCAAGAATAACTTTTATTAGTTTAATAGTAATATGTTGATCTTTCCGATTTCGAAAAGCAATAAACATCCTGATACTGTATGTATAAGGAGCCCTGGTGGCACAACAGTTAAGTGCTCGGCTGCTAACTGAAAGTTTGGCAGTTCAAACCTACCCAGCAGCTCTGTGGAAGAAAGACCTGGCAATGTGCTCCTGTAAAGATTACAGCCTAGAAAACCCTACGGGGCAGTTCTACTCTGTCACATTGGGTCACTATGAGTCTAAATCAACTTGACGGTACCTAACAACAATGAAATGTATTGATTTATCATACAAAGCAGGAATTTAGTTTCATAATTACAGTCAGTAGGATAAAAAAGGGAATCTTGTAGAGGAGAACTAATAGGGTGCCATGGTGTTTACAGACATTTATACACTAACATTCATAAAGAAATATATTTATACTTAACTGATACAATGTTCTTCTAAAAATCACATCTAAATTTCTCCAGGGGAGATGTTATTTGTACTTCAACTGATAAAACTTGGTATTATGAGATTAATAGTGCTAAGAAAGAGCTATGCAACTATACCTTTGTAACGCCTTCTTAAGTAAATCCGTGTGTGTTGTATTATATTTCCATATGATTATCAAATAATCATGTTAAACAGACTAACAGGGTTATTCTGGAAATATTTTTTCACGTTACTTAGGAAAACCCCTGCTCAAACATATGTGGCACCGAGTACGTCATCTCACTTCTGGTCCAACTGTTAAGGTGGAGATAATACCTGCCTTTCACATAAAATTGTCATGATAAAGAAAGAGAGACAAAGAGAAAGATATTGGATGTAGAAGCTTTTGAAAACTGAGAAGCGTTCTACAAATGCACATGATGTATATTACAACTTCACCTGCTTTCCCAGCTGCCGTGCACAGATTGGACAAGGTTCTGGATTAATACCTCCTGACGTTTTGTCTTGAGACTATCCAAAAAAGAAGAGTTTAAAAATATTTCAGTTACATTTTTATATTTTAAACTGCCTACATACTTTATAACTCATTTATAGAAGTAAATGCTGGTAATCTCAATTTAAATAACCTAATAATAGAGATAATTTATATATTATCTATTATTATTAGTCCTGTGATTTACAAATAACATTTATTCAAGGGGTAAACAAAAAATGGATACAATTTTTATTATAGTTTATTCAAGTTATCATATTATTGTACTTGTAATTAATTACAGAAGACAAAATTAAAAGCAAAATATAACTTTTGCTAAATTCTCAAAATTTTACTTTCTGGCTGGATTTTGCTACAAAGAAACACATGATTTTTAAAAATATGATTTGGAACGTTGAAATAAAGATTTCTTATAATTGTAGACAAACCTCTACTTGTACGTCCACTTGGTTCATGAGCTGCCTGGGAACACAGACGTGGGAAGAGGCAGCATTTATTTACATAATGTAACTTCTTATTAATACGGGCTTCTTTCAGCACCCTCTTCTAATCTCATTAAGCCATTCCACTGATCACAAAATAAAATGTTGGATACTCTTTATAGAAAAAATAACCTATGTTAATTCATATAATCTTCAAGACAGCCCAATGAGAGTGTTGTTGTTATTCTAATTTTACAGATGGGGCAAAGCAAGTTAAATAACAAATAAAGTCACGTATCTAGAGAATAGTGAAGTCATGAGTTAAACTTGGCTGTCTGGTCCCAAGTCTAACTTTTTAATCACCATGTTATTTTTCCTGTAATGAATGCCCAGCTTTTTGGTTGTGATCAGTGGAATTTAATAATTTACTTGAATGTAGTTTGATCAGTTTTCAGGACCAAGTATCGTCTACTACTTTCTTTCATTTGACCTATCCAAAAACCCACTACCACATTTTGTTCTGATAAAGTGTTCTGCCAACTGGCAAACTATGAATTCTTCCAATAAAAGGAATTACACTCATCAATAATCCATCAATTCATCAATGCCTAATATAATACTTTGCTCACAGTAGGAACTCAGAGAATGTGTTGTGATTTACATTAAATAATTGAAGTTCCCTTCGCTACCATGTCTTCTGATTTAGCAGCTTTCCAAACACATTTTAGAGTTTCAAATAATAAATTTAAAAATATCTATGTATGAATGAATGCATGTATATATATAATGCAACTTTCACCCAGAGGTATGTTGTAATACTTCCATCATTCAAGGCTTTGAACTGTAGTCCGTTTATATTGTTCCTTACAGTACAATGCATACCCTTTACATCATCTGTGTAACTTATATTTTCTATAGATATAATCCTCCTTTGTGATCTGTGTAGCTAATGTAGACATAGCTAGTATTCTGACCCATATAACTAGCATAACCAAATAAAAGATTAATAAAAAAAAAAAAAGTCCTTAATTATGGAACTAATAGATTAAATGGAAGGAGTCACTAAAGTGGTTTATGATAATACAGCATGGAAAAAAGTCTCATCATTTAAAATCAATACCTTCTCCAAGTTAGTTAGGTAAAGAAGCTGCCCAAGTTTTTTCTGAAGCTGTGATGTAGCAACGGCTTTATCATTTAGTAGTTTTATACGATTTTGTTCTACCTAAAACACAAAGGAAAAAACAAAAAAGTCTTTATTCTTTCTTAGAAAAATAGTTAAATTGTATTAAACATATACAATTCTTCCACAATAATGTAAATGTGTCCTGTTTTAAGAAAACCCACTTATATGTGAAAATTCAAATTTGCAAAATGGATACTATATAATATACATCAAAAGGACTTTGTGCCTTGTAGAAGACAAAATTCAGTGTAGAGTTCCTTTAAATAGGAAATTTCCCTATACACTTGAAGTCTGATAAGAATTAACACAAATTCTATATCTGCACCATTTTTCAGGAATACATCCATGGGATTAAAAAAAAAAAAAAAAAATTAAAGGATTTACTGCTTTGGCCAGAGTGATTTTATCAAATCCAGGGAAGAATCTCTCTGCCCACCTACCACCTGCCAATAGAACATAGTAAGCAGAAAAGGAGTATTCAAATAAGAGGAATTTGTTTTCACAGAAAAACTTATGAAGATTTCATATTTTAAAACTGAAGTGAGCTAGTATATAAGGATTATTTCTAAGTTTTTCTAGGTTATAGTCTTCAGCTTTGCAGAAAGAGAAGGATTTAAAACATTAAACACATACACACATTAAACATTAAAAAAAATACAGGAAATATTATTTCTAATACAGAATACAAAAGGTTGGTGGAGTTATTTCTTAATGCTGAAACACACAAGAGGGATTTATTAGAGGATAAGTTGTAATATTTGCTCATCATTAGCAAAGGAAACACCACAAAGTAAGAGTTTTTGACTGCTCTTAAGGAAGATTTTTTAGTTCTAACAAAGTCAATAGGACATATGTCCAAAAACTGATCACGAATACCTGCAGACTTTGGCACACAGTGCTCAAAAATAAGTGAATGTACAATCTGGAGAGAAACAAACAAAATGCACCAAAACAGTAAATGTGAAAAGCATGTATTAGGTATGAAGCTGCTCACGTTTGACCATTTTTGACCCATAAAAACAACAATTTCATAGGGCTCAAACTAAGAGTTGAGATTAACTCCATACTCAGAGAAGAGATCGCTGCCCTGACTCAACTACCTCTTCTACAGGTCTTGGGTTTTTGTCACATCTATGCGCTGTGCCTTTTTCTGTTATTTACTCGCAAACTACCTCGTGCGGTTCAATGATATGAAGAACAGGTGGACTGGACTTTGGCTCTTTAGGATGGCGCACTCTTAGCCGTTCTGTAGCCATTGCAAGTTCATCAACAGCAGATACACGATTCCTCAGAGCCATCCAGTATTCATGAAGCAACTGGAGGATCAGAAAAGACAAAGATAGTGGTAAAGAAGATAATTAAAAATGGTTAAAATCACTAAGATGTGTCATAAAAAGTCTTCAGTGAGGTCTCAAGACATATACGCTTTTACATTAATGTCTAAAGCACAGGCAATTCTTTGGCCATTATTAGGATGTCAGAGAGTGTGCCTGGGTAATCTCCACAGGACACTGTAGAGTACTGCCTCTTCAGATTCTTAGGAACAGAATACCCAAAGATTTCTTGGTGGGATCAAAGATCTTTATAAATCATTATTAGGCTGGTAGAATCTTTGTTTTGTTAAAAAAAAAAAAAGTACACACACATATATTTATATAAAATACTTCACATATTCAAAATAATGTATATATGGTAACAAGAATACAAGAATAAACAACTGAATACCCACCATCGAATTTAAGAACAATACCAATTCATCTGAAAACCTCTGGTGTTCCTTCTTAATTGTAGCCCTCTCTTTCCTCACATATTCCCCCTTCAGCCCCCAACAATGGGATAACCACTATTCTGAATTATATTTATCATTCTATACTTTTCATTGCAGTTATAAAATGTATGAAGCCCTGGTGGCACAGTAGTTAAGAGCTATGGCTGCTCACCAAATGGTTGGCAGTTCGAATCCACCAGCCACTCCTTGGAAACCCAATGGGGCAGTTCTACTCTGTCCTATAGAGTCGCTATGAATCGGAATCGACTCGACGGCAATGGGCTTGGTTTTTTTTGTTTATAATATGTATATATCATTAATAAGTTAATTATATGTGTTTCTGAAATTAACAGATATGGTGTCAATCAGTATACACTTTTTGACATGCTTTCTTCACTAACATTATGTTTCTGAGATACATCCATGTTCATATGTGTAGCCACAGCTCATTTATTTGCATTATTGTAAAACAGTTTAGCCTACAAAGTTACGAAGGAAAAATGCACTAAGAGCTGGGAGAACTGCACAATATACACTTGCCTGAGACACAGCATGTAGCAAAATGAAGCAAAAAGGGAAAAAAAAAAAAAAAAAACTGGCGTAACTGAGCGCTGTACATAGTACTATCTTCTCCTATGGCTTGCTATAATTATGTTAATTAATGTGCTTTGCATTCAGAATTGTAATATGTGTAGGAAAAAATTATTATGAACCAATGAGTTCCTTTCTTTTTGGAAAAAATATTTTTCCTGCTTTAAAAAGCAAGAACTTTAGATTTTTGAAAAAGATATCAATTGGAATTGCAACATGATAAATAAAGTATTTCTTTCATTCTCCCTACCTATCTCACCTGCATAGTTACTTTATATTTGGTAATAGATCCAAATATAAAGAACAATTCAAAATTAATGAATTCTGGAACCTCATCTCAAGAACAGAGATTATATACAATGGAAATGTTAAAGTTTAAATATGAAGGGCTACTTTGTGCTTTATTTATTGCAATGGTTTCCAGACCTGCAGATTGAGAAGTATTTACTATGCTCGCCAGTCTTCAAGGTTGTTTATGTTTTGGTATTCAGACAAAAGCCAAACAAAAACCAAAACAAAACTCGACTCTAATTTCACAGAACAGCAGTGTAAGATTAAGCTAAGAATAGACTAGAACACTTTCACAGCTAAATAAAAGGTTTCATCTTGATAATGATGTTCTTTTAATAATTTAATAAACTGAATTTACTTATTTGTTTGGTATTATTACACTTACTATAATTACTACATATGATTACTACTGTAATTATTATATTACTATAATTACATTTTAGGGAAAGAAAAATTATGACACCTTAAGTGTCTAAAGCATATTTTAAAAGTGAAGAAAGAAAAGGTATTAGGTAAAATTAATGTAAAAGAGGAGAATTTTTAATACCAGAAGGTTTTTAAATACTCTACCTTATATTCCTTCTTCCATGCTTCAAAGAGATCCATTAAAGCACTTCCTTCATCAACGAATTCAACATCAAATCGATGTGATTTTGCAAAAGACAGCATTGCTTTCATAGAACGCTCTGTCTCACTGACTGCCCAAAGACCCCGGCTGGTGGTAGGCACTCGATCGTCTACTAGTCCTTCCTCATCTTCTATCATCTCCTCAAATATCGCAGTCTGGCCTTTGACTCTGAAGACATACCAGAACGAAACAACAGTACCCACAGCACTGTAAATGAGTGATACTGACGAAGTAACAGGAGAGCAGTGTCAGTGACTTTTCACCAACAACTTTTTAATGGCATGTCTACAAGGTAATGCTTGCAAGTCTTTGGGAAAACCACAGCAACTCTGAATATGCGGGAGGCTTCATAAATTTGTCCAGTGTTTCTTGAGACCAATCTACCATAATACAAAAATGGCTATAAATTTCAGGCTACAATCTCACTCTGAGAACTGAAACAAAACAAAACACAAACCACATATAAACAACAACCATGCAAACAAACAGTATGATCTAAAGACATACTGTTAATCCCTTCTTTTCGAGGGAGTCAGAATGTAGCCTTTCCTCAATTTCCATGTTTGTAAAATAGGGATAATTATGTTAGTACACTAGACTGGATACACTCACTAAGTAGTTTAATGCTTTAGGATGAAGACTTCAGATCTGTGTTGGAGAAAGGATATCAATAATAAGAGCTAACATTTTTAGGAACACTTACCATGTACCAAGCGCTATGCTAAACAACTATATGCACTTCTTATTTAATGTTCATGAAAACTTGATGAAAAGATCCAAGGAAGCAATTAGCTTGAAGGAATAATGGACTACATGAACCATAGTCTACATGACCCCGAGACCAGAAGAACTAGATGGTACCTGGCTACCACTACCGACCACTCTGACTGGGCTCCCAAGAGTCCCGGACAGTGCAGGAGAAAAACTGCAGAACAAAATGCCAAATTCACAAAAAAGGCCAGACTTACTGGTCTGACAGAGACTGGAGGAACCCCCAAGATTATGGCCCTAAGACACTCTTCTGACCTGGAACTGAAGCCATTCCCGGAGACCACATCCTACCCAAACAATAGACAAGCCCATAAGAGAAAAACAGTAACACCCAAGAGGAACTTACTCCTTAGAACAATTAATTATAGGAGGTCAAAAGGGCAATATCTGCTCAAAAGCAAAGATAAGATGGCAGGAAGGGGTAGAAAATCAGGACTAAAGGGAAAGGGAACCCAGGGTGGAAATGGAGATAGTGCTGATACATGGTGGGGAATGAAATCAAGGTCATGAAAAACTTTTTGTACAAACTATCGAACAGGAACCTAATTTGCTCTGTAAACTTTTACCTAATGCACAATAAAAACAAACAGACAAACTCAGTGAAGTAATGGTTATTTATTATTTTTATTTCATAAATGAGGAAACTAAGGCTTAGGGAAGTAACCTTCCCACAATAGTGGGCAGGGATTTGAGTCCAGGTCTGTTGGACTCTAGAGTCTGGAATCTTACCACTCCCCTAAACTGTTCCTCTCAATTAATTATAAAATACTACATGACATGAACATTTAGAGGGTAACTTTTCCATAGGTGAAACCGAGCATGTTAAATTCACCAATCCCAAAGGTTTATTGACTTGGTTTAATAAAAGAAAAAAACGTAAGAAAGGTAACTGTGAGAAAAATGTACTCTTATAATCAAAACACCAAGTCTCATAAAAAGTTTTCCTGATGAGAAATAATCAAATAGAAAACTTACGTGTGAGAAAATAGCTTTGATTCATACTCTGTGAACAATTCATCGGCTTTACAAAAGACACAACTGGAAAAGAAGAGATTACCAAAGAAATAGTCACAAGTATAGCCAACAATCAAGTAATTTTTAAGAGAGCCTTAGTATTTTGTACTTCACCTTTTAACAGATAGACCATTACAAGGAAAAAAAAAATTACACGTTTTTCAGCATGTAGTCCTTTAGAGTTTTTTTTTTTAAGTTTGATTAATAATACGTCTCTTCTTACTTCTGTCTGAATTCAAATGAAAAAGCTTTATTACATGAGCCACTGTTTCTTCTCTCAGAAAAAAATCTAACCTAATGGACTGATGCCATTTCATTGTATGATTTCTTCTATTACCTACCAGTTGAGAGGAAATCTGGTTGGTCGGAGGTGGCAGATTGTTGCAGACTCAATCACGCTACGAGATGGAGGTCCTTCTAGGTTTTTCACAGCCTCTCTGACAAGTTTCTGGAATTTATTTAGCTCTTCCATGTGTGTTGTAAGTAAGAACTGAAGACCTCTGCAGTCATGGAACCTGATTCCCATCACCAGCACCACACATAACACAAAGAAAAAAACAGTGGGTCAATTTTCCCAAATTAATAGCTGTCAAACAAAGTGTTATAGAAACTGCATGGAACGTTTTATTCAGTTAAACTTGAGTGAGTTCTCCACAGGGGTGTATTCAGTTGGTATCTAATTGTGTAAAAGTATAATAAAAATGGATTTTTTACTACAGAAGATCCCTCAAAGTTTGATAGACCCTGTCCTTAACAACCGAAAATGAGTATCTGAAATCAGCATATGTTTCTATGTCTCTGTCTCAGATGTCTTTGAAAGTCAGCACTGCCATATTCCTCCTTTTTAATGCTGTCTGACTAGAGATGTCCCTCCTGATATCCTTACTGTATATGGAGGGGTGATGGCAGGATGCAATATAAAGACAAAAAATTAGGGAGGAAGAAAAATCCAAGAGTTATATTCCTTGTTACAAGGAGGAGCTATATGTATTTTATTAAGCATTTACTACATGCCAGGAACTTTGCCAATCACTTTTCCTGTATAATCTCAGTAGTTACTGTTAACGTCCACTTTATAGATGAAGTTTAACTAAGTAAGATAACTTACTAAAGTTACAAAGTTACTGTGTAGAAGAGTTTGGAGTTAAATCCAATCACAACACTCTTAATCATTTTCCTATACTGTAAATGAAAAGGGCTGAGAAACAAATGTATGTACATGTGTGTTGTGTTTATAAAAGAAAACAAAGCAAAACAAAAAACCTAGGAAAATGAGAAATCAGAAAATGGAAAATACAAAGAGGAGTTGTTTGCTTTTTAAGAATCTATCCCCCTCCTTCCTGAAATGCCATGTACCCTCCTCCTCTACAAATTGTAAAAATCCTATGAAGTTCAAAAGAGCCCACTCTCCTTGCTGAAGCCTTCCCCAACATTTCTAAACACTAATCTGTATGTTTCTTTTCTGTCCATGGAGCTCACAGACAACATCCTTCATTTTAATAGTTGTTATGTTCAATTTTCACACATACTTACTTGTATGTACGTACAAATAGGAGCATGCATATTTCTCAAATTGTTCACAGGTCTTGTCTTCTCATTAAACCAACTTTTAGAAGGTAAGGATTATATCATATCCTTTTTTATTTTTGCATATGTACTAAATACAGAACAGCTGCTCAATAAATACTTTCTAAAATAATTTGCATAGATACTTGAACAAAATTAGGTCAAGTGCCAATATTATTTACAAAAAAGAAAACAAAGCTTTTTTTGTTTCTAACTTATTAAAAGTTTAAATCGGTCTTCAAGAATGAACTTTTGTGACAAAGGGAAGAAGTAGCTTTGGAAATATTCTCTCTGCTAAGTCATGTCTGAGCCATGTGAATTAAAAAACACACACACAAAAAAAACCACACCCGTTGCCATCGAGTCGATTCCGACTCATAGCAACTCTAAAGGACAGGGTAGAACTGTCCCATAGGGTTTCCAAGGAGCGGCTATTGGATTTGAACTGCTGACCGTTTAGTTAGCAGCCAAGCCTTACCCACTGCGCTACCAGTGCTCTAAGCCATGTGAAAAAGGGCTGAAAAATATTATCAAAAATAGCACTTCACCTGTCTTAGCAATGTTGTCTCTGGCGAGTGCTTTAAAAAAACGAAAGAAAAAATCATAGTAAGAGGTAATTGTTACATACAATACTAAATGGTAGGTACTATTCTAAGTAAGCACTTCAAAATATTAATTTATGTAATCCCCACAACAATGCTGTGGTTTTGCAAATAAAGAAACACAGAGAGCTTAAATACCTTTCCCAAAGTCACAGTGCTAATGAGTGGTGGAGCTGGGAATTGAACACAGGTAGCTGACTCAAGAACCTGTGCCTAATCACTGAGATACACAGCCTTTCCTAACAATCATTAAGAAAACATGAATAATTTGGTTTATGAGATATCAATGCCATTCAAAATCATAGACAGTAATGAGAAAATAATCTCTGAATACAGATGTAATGTTAAAAAAAAACTTAACTTACATAGATAGATATTCCATATGTTCACCCTTAAATATCCTGAAATATGTTTTACTTCCTATTTTGCCTACTGTTTTTTAAAAGAATGTTTGTTTAATGAATGTTTTACATTTTCCTGTTGGTCCTTCAAAGCACTTTTATAGCCCTCAGACCTCACAACATGCAATAGGAGATGTGCCCTAATATGAGGATTTTACATCTTTTAAGCAGTTTCTCCGTGATTTAAGAAAAATAACTTCCTACGATTCCACTTACATGAAACACCTAGCATAGGTAAATGCACAGAGACCAAGGTTTACTAGTGGCAACCAGGGGCTGGGGCCGTGAGAATGGGGAGTTATTGCTTACGGGGTACTGAGTTTCTGTTTGAGGTGATGAAAAACTCTGGAAATTGATAGTGGTGATGGCTGCACAACATGGTAAATGTAATTAATACAACTGTACACTTAAATTTGGTTACAATGGCAAATTTTTTGTTATATATATGTTTTACCAGAATAAAATTAAAATATATATAACTTCAAAGTAACATTATTTTCATATCAGCTGATTCCACAATGTTGGCAGAACACATTAGGATACAGCTTTAAAACAGGATAAAATGAATAATGACTAAAATGACAACTTATCCTGGAACAGCAATTCTTGGGCTTAACAGGGAAAACGGAAGAACGCTCAAGGGCACAACGTACTGGATAACTCAGAAATGAGAAGCCTGGTGGGTTCTGTATGGTCAAAAGATGATGATTATAATAAAATACATCCAAGTTAATGTGGACACATGGAAAATGTGGCACATTCTTTTAGGATTTTAGCAAACATTTGGAAAAGCTTTTGGAAGAGTAAACCGAAGCATTTAAAAACATTTTAAACGTGTTCTTATGCTAAATTTCTCACTGAAAACTAACACCGATCCCAGGGCTAACACCTCACACTGGAATGTACTGGAATGTAATCTGAGAGGCAATGAAAGATATTCTCTCTGTCCCCCTACCTAGAATCAACAGTTCTGTCACAATGCTTAAATTCTCCAAGTTAGATATTCCTTTGGGTTAAGCCACCAAGGGTACTTTTGATAAATGGTAAATTTTCCCTTTGGGAAGACTTATTCATCATTTACACATAAAGAGAAATAAGCCCACTCACCTATGAAGACCCTAAGAACGGTGAGTGTGGATGAGAAGAAAGATGGGGGACAGCAGATATTATGTTACAACAGAAAACCCAGGCCGCTGCAGCACTAAGATGCTTAACTCTTGGAGAAATGAACCACACACAGTAAGCATGAATGCCTGAGGTCAAGAACAAGAGTCTCTAAAACAAAGCCTGTTTCAAAACCTTGTTTAAAGCTGGCTTTGGATGTGTCCAACAAACACACAAAGAAAATAAGCAGACTTTTGAAAAGGTACTAAAACAAAAAGAAATGGTTAATATACAGAAAAAAAGTTACTCTTTTAAACTTACGTACTATTATGTAAAAACTAGATGTTCATAACCATGATACGTTATGATATTGAATTGCATCTCTTAATACCAAATGATTGGACTATTTGGGGTGACTACTCTATTTTGAACTCTGTCCTTACTTCTCTGACATAGAAAGCTTGCCAGTTTGTTGCTTGTAGTTGCAGGTTATTTCATTTCGCACTCGCTGAACAAGCTCCTCTTCAATAGAAAATTCTATTGCTCTGTGGATCACATTCAGCCACCAAGGAGAATTAGGATAAATCTGTAAGAAAAAAGGACATCAGTTGATCAATTAATATATATACATATTTTAGTACTCACTGTGGTGCAGTGGTTACGAGCTGGGCTGCTAACAAAAAGGCTGGCAGTTTGAATCCACCAGCTGCTCCTTGGAAACTCTATGGGGCAGTTCTACTCTGTCCTACACGGTCACTATGAGTCGGAATTGACTCGACGGCAACGGGGTGTTCCCATCAGCAGGGAGGGTGATGTGAAGAATTCAATGGGAGTAATGAGTGCTATTCTCAAAGGCATTATAACAGAACAAAGACAAAAACACATCCTCTATAAAGAATGGGTGAGTACCTCTTTTGTATACATAAAGAGAACAACTGTTTCCTGACTACTCTGGATGAGTGCAAGTTTATTGTATACACCTGAAAAACAAAGCTGTACTAAAAAATACTTTACCAAAATAAAAATTCAGTACTCACTCTACGTATTTGAAGAGGTAACGAGCTTCTTTCTCAGTATAAGGAAAGCCTTCCTTCTAATCTTTGATAAAATGAACTAGATTCTACTCAATGACTAATCTATAGTAACTAACAAAATTATACCCCAGAATGCTAAATTAATGAATTATAAAGAATAAAAAGTGCAACTGATTAAAAAAAAAAAACCCGAAAAACTAAAAGAGGCTGCTACTGATTTCATAAAAGAAATTTTAGAAATGACAAATGGTATGTATTTTATAATAAGAACAGTTGTGGTTCTAATGTTCTAACAACTTAAAAAGAAAAGATTTTGGAAAAAGATGCATCTAGGATCAAAAGGAGATTACGGAAGCCTTTACATTCTTCAAAATGCAACTTGTTATATTCCCAAGGTTAAGAGGAAACCCACTGGACCTTAAAAAAATAAAAAAGAATAACCTTAACACACTTCATTTATCAATGCATCTGTTTGTTTATTCAATCAATAAACACCGTTAACAGCAAATCAAATTTTTATTGTGAGGCACACACTACACTAGGTACTAAGAATTTTAAGATGAAAGTTCAAGTTTCCTCCCGAACAAAAACCAGAATGATATCTGGAGACCAACACAGTAAGAAAACATGTCATTGTGGGGCCACACCTTTCTTTGGAGCTCACGTATGGTCTGCTGCACAGGCTGGAGAGCTTGCTGGGCTTCGGCAACTTCTGTATTACACTTGCTCATGTAGTGCTCTCGCAGCTGTTTGGCCTGCGTTGAAATACAAAAGTATCAACTTTCACTCAAAGCCTAGAAAAATTTAAAATGGAACAACGTGATCATTTTATATTTTAACTGGATTTAAACATAAAACTCTACAAGTATACTGTAGAGAACACAAAAGTCATGCTAGAAATTCCTAAGGTATATATTGAAGAGACCAAAATTTACCTGTAAGTCACAAAATTTAAGAAATCCCCAAGGTTTACCCCTTATCACATTACTATCTAATTAGTACTTCAATTAAAAAAATTAAAAAAAGGGCAAAAAAAGAAGAGCAATATTTAAAATTATGTGGCAAAGCAGGGATACCTTTGATAATTTGTCTGTTTTAGTTATTACTGCTTCTTGAAATTATTTCAGTTTAAAAATAAACAATACTTGAGAATCTACAGTAACACAGGGAATTAAAAGTTCTTCCCATTTCCCTTTTGAAGACAATAATGATGATATAATTTATGAGCAGTAGAAATAATAGAGAAAATTTTGTTTTTAAAAACTTCCGTTAGAAACCCTGTGAAAATTCACTTTTTTTTTTCCATTCAACTGAAATACTCAACTGGCTCTAGAAACTACTTTATGAGTAAAGAGAGGGGATCAGAAACTACATGGGACAGTGGGAGGGAAATTGGAAAGACTACTGAACTGAAAATCCTGATGCTTCCACTTACAGTGAGTGGAGCCATATAAAATTGCTAATATTTGACCACTTTTGACTTACAAAAATGGCAACTTCGTATAGTTCAACTGAATAGATACATGTCCTTGGTCTAGCATTTAACTTCCTTGGGCTTCTGTTACTTCATTTGCAAAAGGAACTGGCTGAAGTAGATGACTTCAGAGATCTCATGTAGTTTCAAAATACTGAGGTTTCACATTCTATGAGAATTAGGCAAAAGTGATAATGTGGCCTACTTGCAAACACATTTACATAGTATGAATCCTCCTCCTCCTCCCCCTGATACATTTTTCCTTCTGTCACAACCTTCCAATTAACTTCTATTAAAGTCCCTTGACTATTATTATTTGATCATTAGAGTTGTCTAACTACACATTGGGCTGTCTCCCTGAGATACAGCTTCCTGTCACTACAGGCATTTAAAGAAAGAATGACATTAAATTCAAGGATTGGACGCTTGCACTAGGAAAGAAATTTCAATGTAAAATTTTCAACACGTAGAGTGTTTTCTAACATGACAAACAATGCAGTGAAAGGATTATGTCCTTACTTACACAATCTCATGTTTTAAAATTTTGCTGATTCAAATAAAGAGTCCACTTAGAGGCTGAATACATTTCAAACATATCTATTCTTTTGATTTCCACCACCTGCCTGTCTGTCATACTTTGGTGACTTGTGTGTTGCTCTGATGCTAGAAGCAATGCCACTGGTATTTCAAATACCAGCAGGGTCACCCATGGTGGGTAGGTTTCAGTGGAGCTTCCAGACCAAGACAGACTAGGAAGAAAGGCCTGGTGATCTACTTTCTGAAAACTAGCCAATAAAAACCCTACAGATCACAGATTATTGTCCAAGATTTCCACTCACTTACTTTGGACATGTCATCAGGAGGGACTAATTGCTAGAGAAGGTCATACCAATGATCATGAAGATGGCACAAGACCAGGCAACATTTAGGTTTGTTATACAAGAGATCACCATGAGTCGGAATCGACTCAGTGGCAACTGATAATAACAACATCCTTTAGATTTAAGCATGCCCCTCTCTCTTGAATCTTAAAAAGGTAAACATCCCTGGCATAATTAGCATAATAAGCTATTAACAATTTATAGTGAAATAATTTATAATCTCTCTCTTCAATAAAAGGCAAAACTTATTGCAGAGGGAACTTCTACAAGAGGATATAAGAAATGCCATCAAAACCATGAATTTATTTACTGTCTTAAATAATACACAGAAAGGGAGAAGGTACAAAACTTTATTTTTCCACTAAACTACATCTTTTGTAGGTCTGCCACAAGATCAACAAGGTCTCCTGCGTTTGTTGTTTACTTACAACCAGCACTTTTAGCTAGTATCTACAATAAGCGGTTACCACGTAGTTGCAAGCATTTCACCAGAGAAGCAAAATAAGATGTTGTACTGCCATTCTTTGCCACCCAAAACACCACAGGAAATTTTTTAACAGTCAAAGCAGCAGGAAAACATGATTCCATTTATTTAAGTGTGTGCACCAGAAAATATCAATTAAATGGAGAATAGAGTCTGAAAAAATATACTTTTGAGACAGAAAGAAAAAATAATTACCTCTTCCTCAAGTCTGCCATCTCTCAAGGTAGGAGGTATCCCTGGGTGCTTGGCTACTAACAATTCCATTAAGTTATGGGTAGCATGAAGTCTCTACAAACACACAAAAGACAATAATTATAACAGCCAATGCACTGGTCTAAAGAAAAAGCCCACTATTAATAGGGCATGCAAGGCACTAACACCATGTTAAGAGTAGATCACTGAAAGCGACTTTTCCTTGAACACAATTTGAGTACCAACTTTGTTTAGAGAAAATTCAATCTGGTTTTATAGCAAAGGTCTGACTTCATAGTGACATGAACATTCTTCAATGAAAAATATAGTCTTATGAAGTATAGTTATGCATTTGGCAGAATATGCAACATGGGCTAATTTCTTCTATTTTACAGGCAACTGCGAATAAGTCAACTCATTCCAGTAAAGCAGAAAGGCTGACACCATAGGCTTGATTCCTTCTCTCTTGGGAAATGTGTCTAGGTGAGCTTAGCAATTATATTATTATAAAAATGAGGGTAATAAAGTAAATAAGAAAACAGGGCTCTAACCTGGACCTGTTGAACTCAAGGGTTGGAAGGGGAGGAGCTGGAGGTGAAGATGGAGTAGAAAGAGGAAGAAAACTAAATCCTCTATCTCTGTATTAAATATAAGCCAGCCTTCCCACTGTGGTATTGAGTCTGTAGCTTATTAGGATCTCCCTATGGAGTCAAGGGCTATGAAATGAAATAAAGTAAAAATAGTTTGTTTCTCACTGTTAACTTGACTTTTTATTTGGGAAGATAGTTAAGGACTGAAGGATGATCAGGAAAGAGTCTTCCAGTAAGAACTGATTTGGTATCAGTGATTTGGGGCCCTAGAGAAGTTTATTTTGCTTGACCAAAGATTACTGGTCATGGTATACATCTTTGAAGAGTCACCTCAAATGCCCTAGGTCTTTCAACATGGCTTCATAGGCAATAAAATCAGTTCAGTACCACAAATAGATTTAATAGCAACAACAAAAGTGCAATTAAAACGTGGAAACTTAAAAGTGATAGATATGTGTTTCCTCATCTCTATGCGCATCTGCGGAAGAGGACTCCTGTTGTATTTTGCACATGGTGAAATGGACTGGAAGGAATACTTGTGGTCTCTTTCTACCGCCTTGCATGTTTTTTTTTCCTGAGAGAACAGAGCGGCTAAACTGACTGGTCAGAACACAACATTCAGCGGGCCATGTTTCACCAGTAGATGGGGTTACTGTGACTCAAAAGCAAGAACTGGGCTGGTTGCTTACTCTTTTCTTGAACTCCTCGAATGCAGGCACACTGGACTTACCTGTCTTCTTCCCTACTCTTCTACTTTGGATTTCCTCATGCAGGAGCAGGATACCTTTGCACTCTCTCCTTCTCTCATGGGGTTAAGGTTCAGGGCCTGCCTTCTGTAATCCTTATCCATCCAGAATAGAAGTAGACTTATATCTGAATTTTCTCCCCTCCCCTAACTGATCCCCATACAACCCTCCTTTTACAGGGAGGCAATGTGAGCAGGTATGTCCCAAAGTCTAGATTCTGAATGGTGAAGAGAAAGCCTCACTTGGGACTCAAGACTAAGCTTGCCAAGATTAATAAAGACGGTCCTTATTTCCATTTGGCTAGACAGCCTTGTCTATATGATCCACTGGACAGAACAAAGATGAGGAAGGAAAATAAGCATTATAATTCGAATATCCAAATCCCCCTACGACCTCTAAAAATTAAATTAGAAGATTGTTGGATAGATTTTATTACTCGGTTCCAAGGTCGAGCATAACTCATTTTCTTTCCTTTTGGTGATAACAATGTAAACAAACATGCTGACATTCATATGCAAAAGTGATAAAATTGACCCACCCTTTGAAGTACAAACACTATAAGCTATTTTTGTAATGTTGGTTATAGATTTATATTGTCAGTCTTATAACCAATATTGTCCTGCACAGAAAATAGTAGTGATTCTCAAACACTGCTGCATATAAACATCAGCGCATATAAACATCACCTTAGGTGCTTATTGGAAGTGCTGAATCTCAAGCTTCATCCCCAGAGATTCAGTCCATTTGTGACCCTTTATCCTTCTAAATATTCAGAAACATTATTTTGTAAAAATCAGTTAAAATACATACTTGAAACTGTTTAGTTTTTACTTACTTGGAGTGAATCAGTTTTGAGTTTTCCTTTGTGCTCCTCAGACGAGCGCAGCACTTCCCTGTAGAGATCTGCTGCCAAGGCATACTCACCTGAGGGATTAAATGTATTTAAAGGATAAGAGAGTTATGTATTTAGCAACTAATGCTACCTATTATCTATTATGTAAATATATCTACTGTAAAAATATTACTTAATGATTACAACTCACTGTTTTTTAAGACTACTATTTCCACAGACTACATTTGTGGAAAGAGACGATGGAAAAGCTCAACATCATCAGTCAGAACAAGGCCAGGAGGCGACTGTGGAACAGACCATCAATTGCTCCTATGCAAGTTCAAGTTGAAACTGAAGAAAATTAGAACAAGTCCACAAGAGCCAAAGCACGACTTTGAGTATACCCCGCCTGAATTTAGAGACCATCTCAAGAATAGATTTGACGCAGTGAACACTGATGACCGAAGACCTGACAAATTGTGGAATGACATCAAGAACATCACACACGAAGAAAGCAAGAGGTCATTAAAAAGACAGGAAAGAAAGAAAAGACCAAAATGGATGTCAGAAGAGACTCTGAAACTTGCTCATGAACGTCGAGTAGTTAAAGCATAAGGAAGAAATGATGAAGTAAAAGAACTGAACAGAAGATTTCAAAGGACGACTCAAGAAGATAAAGTAAAGTGACACATGCAAAGAGCTAGAGATAGAAAACCAAAAGGGAACAACACACTTGGCATTTCTCAAGCTGAAAGAACTGAAGAAAAATTTCAAGCATCAAGTTGCCATAGTGAAGGATTCTATGGGGAAAACACTAAACGACCCAGGAAGCATCAAAAGAAGATGGAAGGAATACACACAGTCATTATACCAAAAAGAACTGGTCGACAATCAATCATTTCAGGAGGTAGCATATGATCAGAAACCGATGGTACTGAGGGAAGAAGTCCACGTTGCACAGAAGGCACTGGTGAAAAACAAGGCTCCAGGAATTTACAGAATACCAACGGAGATGTTTCAACAAATGGATGCAGCACTGGAAGTGCTCACTCGTCTATGCTAAGAAATTTGGAAGACAGCTACCTGGCCAACCGACTGAAAGAGATCCATATTTATGCCTAGTCCCAAGAAAGGTGATCCAACCGAATGTGGAAATTATCAAACAATATCATTAATATCACACACAAGAAACATTCTGCTGAAGATCATTCAAAAGTGGCTGCAGCAGTATATTGACAGGGAACTGCCAGAAATTCAGGACGGATTCAGAAGAGGGCGTGGAACCAGGTATACTATTGCTGATGTCAGATGGATCCTGGCTGAAAGCAGAGAATACCACAAAAGATATTCACCTGTTTTACTGACTATGCAAAGGCATTCGACTGTGTGTATCATAACAAATTATGGATAACACTGCGAAGAACGGGAATTCTAGAACACTTAATCGTGCTCATGAGGAACCTGTACATAGATCAAGAGGAAGTCGTTCAGACAGAACAAGGGGATACTGCGTGGTTTACAGTCAGAAAAGGTGTGCGTCAGGGTTGTATCCTTTCACCGTACCTATTCAATCTGCGTGCTGAGCAAATAATCCAAGAAGCTGGACTATATGAAGAAGAATGGGGCATCAGGATTGGAGGAGGACTCATTACCAACCCATGTTATGCAGATGACACAATCTTGCTTGCTGAAAGTGAAGAGGACTTGAAGCACTCACTACAATGAACATCAAAGACTTAAGACTTCAGTGTAAAGAAAACAAAAATCCTCACAACTGGACCAATAAGCAACATCATGATAAAAGGGCAAAAGATTGAAGTGGTCAAGGATTTCATTTTACTTGGATCCACAATAAACACCCATGGAAGCAGTAGTCAAGAAATCAAGACACACTGCATTGGGCAAATCTGCTATGAAAGACCTCTTTAAAGTACTGAAAAGTAAAGATATCACCTTGAAGACTAAACTGCGTGTGACCCAGGCCATGGTATTTTCAATCGCATCACATGCATGCGAAGGCTGGACAATGAATAAGGAAGATCGAAGAAGAATTGCCACCTTTGAATTGTGGTGTTGGCGAAGAATACTGAATATACCACGGACTGCCAAAAGAATGAACAAACCTCTCTTGGAAGAAGTACAACCAGAATGCTCCTTAGAAGTAAGGATGGCCGGACTATGTCTTACATACTTTGGACATGTTATCAGGAGGGATCAGTCCCTGGAGAAGGACATCATGCTTGGTAAAGTAGAGGGTCAGCAAAAAAGAGGAAGATCCTCGACAACATGGACTGACACAGTGGCTACAACAGTGGGCTCAAGCATAACAATGATTGTGAGCATGGTACAGGACCGGGCGGTGCTTCGTTCTGCAGTACATAATGTCACTATGAGCTGGAACTGACTCAATGGTACCTAACGACAACATATTTTAAGAAGAGGAACTTCACTTCGCATTAACGACTCCCCCAGTAAAAGAAGCTGATGATAGTTCATATTTATGTTAATTCCAAGAACAGAACAATAATCAAATATATCTACAATGTTTTTAAATCATATTGAAAGATAAACAATGGATTAACTTTTAATTTATACAAATAATTTTCCTCTTATTGACATTAAACTAAAAACCAAACCCACTGCTGATTCGATTCCAACTCATAGTGATCCTATAGGACAGAGCAGAACTGCCCCATAGTGTTTCCAAGGAGCAGATGATGGATTTGAACTGCCAACCTTTCTGGTTAGCAGCTGAGCTCTTAATCACTGTTGCCACCTGGGCTTTATTGAGATTAAAGGGTACCAATGGCTGTTATGATATCTGAAATTACAGATAGATTTAGGGTCATCAGAGACATTTATAAACAAATCTTTAAGACACTATGAGCAAACTACACTTAATTCTCAGAAAAATAATACACTCTTCTCAGTACGTATTGTTTTTCTTTGTATTACACCAAAGTGATTTACATTTAAAAACTACACTTCAAAAATTGAGGGATTCTTCTTTCCATTTCTGGTTAAACAAATCATAATTAGTCTGAGATGCATGCTGTTTTCTATTGTTCATAATTAGCAGTTCACTCAAAAACAGCTATTAAAAAAATTCAAAAGTATCAATTAAAGCATAGGTTAGCAAACTAAGGCCCACCTGACATATTTGACCCTCCACCTGTTTTTGTATGGCCCACAAGCTAAGAATGGTTTTACAGTTTTAAATGGTTGAAAAAAAATCAAAAGAACAAAAATATTTTGTGACATGTGAAAATTATATGAAATTAAAATTCAGTGTCCATGAATAAAGTTTTATTGGAACCTGGCCATGTTCATTTGTTCATGTATTGTCTGTGCCTGCTTTCACACTACAGAAGTAGCGCCGAGTAGGTGTGACAGAGACCCTATGGTTCACAAAGCCTTACATATTTACAGAAAGAGTTTGCTGATCCCTGAATCAAATGAAAGCTGAAGCACGCTTAGTGGCTTGGATAGTGGAATCTAACTTATTTGCTACCCGGTGAAAAAGTTAAAACTGGTAGCTTACAAATACTATTAAAACGAAACTGTAAGAGCGGCAAAATCATGAAAATACACAAAAAAAGGTGCAGAGATGTTTCAGTGTCAGCTTGCTGAGAATGCTTTTTTCCTAACCAACTCATACACCTGTTTTATACTGTTGCTTTATATCTAGTTCTTGCATTTACCTAATAGAAGGCTTCTTAAAACACACATTTTCACAGAACTTTGTAGTCAGCCAAGTTCTACTCATTTTCATGAGGGAGATTATTTTCACACTAATAAAACCACATTATAATGCAGGAGTAACACTCAATATCTGTTGCACAATCAGTTTTCTTTAATTTTTAAGGTTTTTGATTAAAGGTTTTCAAAAGACATATGGATTCTATTAGTATTTATACTATCACTCACGAATGACAATTCATTTAACTATTCTCTATAACTACCATCCGTTTTAAGGGAGATACAGTGACTAAATTAGAATGTAAGCAGCTGAATTCGAACGACTCACTCTCATATCTTTTTTTTATAATGTTTACTAAAAAAAGACATGTTCTCTGAGAAAAAAAAAAAACACCACAAAATATGCACATTTAATAAGCTATGCAAGTTTAAGCCAAATTTGGAAATTCCCATTCCTAGCCACTTGATGGCACTAATATTTCCAAGTAAACAAACTGTTATGGATTTGATATTGCCAAGTTATCTCTCTCCATAAATATCTGCAGAAAACACAGAATCCAAAATTGGAATATCACGTGTTTAATGCTACAGTCAATTAGGACCTTAAAATAAGCATTGTGTGTCAAAGATATATTTGCATATAATCAAGCAAATCTTTCTGGAGTTTGAAATTAATTTTATATCTCTTTTAGGAATCAGATTTTCACTAGAAGTCTGATCTCTATACTGGAATAGATTCAATTATGTCAGAAAGGGCATATTCTTTATTAATGGACTTTCTGGTAGGGATTTCTCTTAACAATTAGCAATAGGTGGCAACTACAACAGGAAAGCAAAGAGCACCAATGTACCTCTGTTACTCGATTACACGCTGACTCTGCTAGGGGCTATAACTAAAACAAAAAAACCAAACCTATTGCCATCGAGTTGATTCTGACTCACAACGACCCTACAGGACAGAGCAGAACTGCCACATTAGGGTTTCCAAGCAGGGGCTGGTGAATTTGAACTGCCGACCTTTTGGACAGCAGCCTGACTTTTTTTTTTTTTTT